CACCTCAAGGTGAAAACCTTCGACAGTCGACCATGTGAAGTGGAACGACTCAAGTGGTCCAATGTGGCCAATCAAGTTTAAAAAAAAATTGTAATAATGATCGAAATATTATCTCACATTATTGATGACTTATGCAATATAAATAGCCTGTGATATAATACAAATATAATTATTTGTATATTTATAATATAATTATAATATAATATAAATTATAATTCTATAATGAATTATATATAACATAAAAATAATATTACAATATAATATAAATATATTTGCCAGTGATGAGTTGAAATGAGATAAAGGCCAATATAACAATAAAATGTAACACAATATATATTCTATTCTAATAACAGGGGGGAGAGGATTTTTAAGACCTAACAATTCTTAAATATGCACTTTAATATGCAATAATAATTTACAATACTTCATTTCCTGTATAAACCTTTCTTGATCAAATTTAAGAGAAGCATGTTTGGAATAAAAATATATATTTTGTGCAAACATAATATAATCTACCTCACTTATGGGAGAAATAATTGAAGTAAATAATCACCATAGTGAAGTACATTACATGTCTTGCATTTCTGCCTGTTTAAAAAATATATCAAGAAATACACAAATATTTTATTATCTATAGAAAAAAAAACCACAAACTGTGATAAGCTCAATGAACGCTCACAAATAAATAGTAGATTCTATGAAAAGATGAAACATTTTAGAGATAAGTATCTATTTTAACGAAATGTACATGTACAATTACATGAATATGCACCAACTGGAAAAATTGACCAAATATGCACAAACATGTTAGTCTCCATACCATCCAATACTAACAAAATATCAAGAAATTTCACTTAGCTATGCCCTAAAGCAAAGGACAAAAACATGCAAAATCATACAAATCTGATCCTGCCACTTCTAATATTTACCCCCTCCCAGAATAAAACAATTCAGGCCCAACAACAATAACCAAATGGTTCAATAAATTCTTAATATTGTGACTACCACCTAGGATACAAAATTACCAAGTTATAACTGAAAATGTGGAAACTACTAAATATTTTTAAAAAAGTGTATGTGAAATGATTTAAATATTTAATATTGATAACAGATTGAATTAAGAAGAATATGTATCTTTAATAATGTAGCTGCAGGAGCGAGTAGAAAAGATATTGAACTTATGCTATTTTCAAAAATGTAAGCATTTTAATGAAATTCAACCTAGCATCATTTCTATTTTGCTCTATTCATGCAAAAAGTTATGAAAATGTCAATTTTTGAGAGAAAAACTTGAGAATGGTTAAAAGAAAATAAAAAAAAATAACCTGAGACAACTGTAGATGTTCCTTCTTCAGCTGCTTGTTCACTTATTTCTGCAAGATCTGATATATCAGGTTTTGCCCCAGGTCTTAGATTGGGCGCCATTACAAGAGCCAATGACAGTAGCAGCACCATAAGGCATGTAGCTGGCTGCACAGATTTTGCAGTACTACGAGCAACCAATGCTTGAAGTCTATGGAGCTGGGCAGTCAGTGATTGGTTTTGTGTCTGTAAAGCTTTTATTCGCTTCACCAACTGCACATTCTCCTCAGTACACTGCTTCACTCTAAAACATTAATGACTCATTCAAATAAAGACTACTTGAATCATTGTAAAACATGTAATATATGTTATTATGTACCTATCTTCCAGTCCATCAATATATTCTTTTTTCCTTTTACGAGAATCTTGAGCTGATATTTTATTGCGTATTTTTCGACGAATTCTTTTGAGTTCTCGTTCTTCATGTTTCGTGAGAGGATAGTGTGTGGGTAGTCTCACACCCTCCTTTTGTAACAGCCTTTTTTCTTCATCTAAACAAAACATTTTAGTTAAAAAGAATACTTAGGAACTTAGCTATGAATTAGAATGAATTTGCTTGATCTTAATGTTCCCAATGTATAGGCCACCAAGCATTACCAAGTCAATCTAAATAAAATAACTTACTAATTAAATCTAAAATTCACACTAATATATATTTATTTACACTAACATAAGGTTCACAAAGTTTCATGCACTACAAGTTTTAAATGCTAAAAATGATATGGTTAGATCTTTTAGGTCACCAACCTACATCAACTCTTCAATAGTCATATTTAAAAAGGTAACAAGTGGACTGAAAGAAACACAATAATTGGATTACTCTAAACTTTTCCTGGCCAACTAATTTTCTTTTCTATATTTGACACATTTATGCTGAATAAGTAACTCACTTGTGAGCTGTAGCCGTGGGTATTGAGATTTCACACCTTCACAATTTAATTCATCTTCGGAAGTGTCAGTCTTCATGGGTGTCACTTTAGTTGGAAGAGTAGTTAATTCACCCTCCAACTTGCTTGCTCTTGACAAATTAATTACCTTAATTGTTTTTATGTCACGTACATTTTTTAAATTTACAGGTAACAATAATGATCGTGGGTTCCCAGATATAGGTGTTACTCTAAGTACTGTTGCATTGGATGTAGAAAGTTTATTATGGGTATTGGAAAGAACTGAAGTTACATCAGACTGCTCTGGTACTGACAACACATCTATAAAAACAAAAATTGTATTAGTCATGGAAAATAAAAAAAATAGGTATGTAGCTATTACTAAAAACAAAAATTCACACCAAGTTTAATAACAACAACAACAATAATAATAATAATAATTACTTATAACTGCTTGATCATTTTCAACCTGAATGCTTTCAGAGTCTAAACTACTTAATACTGATGATTCAACTTCTATTTCACTTTGAATTTGGCTCATATCTTCACTATTGAGAATATGTATATCTTCATCATCTGGTTCAATTTGCCGAGGGGACATCTGTTGATCACTTGACAATCCACTATCTGAAGAACTACTGTTTGCCATTGAAAAGTCAGGAAGGAGGTCATCATTGAGCATCTCGAAAGATGGGTCCTCAAATTTAAGCATTGAATCCAACAAATCATCTGCATTGGTAGCCCAATTTTCTGTCTGCAAAATGTACAAAGTTATTAAAGCACACAGTTTTAAAGATCCAACTACATTTTTTTTTGTTTGGTTTTGTTATCAAACGTAAAGTCAGAACAACATATTAGAATTATTCACTACAACCCATTGAACATTTGACATTACTATTATTCTTACTTTGTTTATCTGGAGAACATCACTGATGACACTAAATTATGACATTGAATAATTTTTCAAGAAATTACAATAAATATACCTTCACAGAGTTTATTTTGCATTATTGAAATATTCAAATGAACTTACATTGATTTCATTACTGTCATTAAATTCTGTTTTTCCATTCAAATCCTTTTCGGTTAATGCTAGAAGAGGATCTTCTCTTTCCAAAATAAAATCCATTAAACTAACATCGCTGGGTAAGGCCATGGTAAAGCTTGTGTACTACAATTATTTCATAAAAATACAATATCCCTTCGAAAACCTTCCACTTATAATGACCACTAATGTTTCGCTTTTGTGTTCCACAAATAGCCTTGTTACCGAAAAGGTTCTCGCGACATGTCGCCTACAATGCGCAACAATCTGCTAAGGTTCACGTTTCGTCAGTGCATCTCCGTTTCTTCGGTGCAGCTATATTAAATACCCTTATTTACATCATCCCAAAGAAAAAACAGATAATGTAGATGAATAATGTCAGAATTCACGCATTGTCACTTCTGAAAAATAAATTCAATGCGTTTCTACGTTCAAAAACCACATATTTTTATCACCATACACTGCGTAAAATCCACCGTGCACAAACCCAACCACCTACCAACCACTTCCAACGTGGAAAAATCTACGTCACTGATAGATGTCCACTTGCGTGATTCTCATTGGGTCACATTGGATTACGAGTTGTTTCTTTTCCCCAGCAGCTCTCTGCCCTACCACTTTGTTCGCGTAAGCTTCTTTGTGTGTGCCGGGTCTTATTAAGCGTTACTGGTTCAATAATATTATGTTTTCAAACTGTAAATATTTAAAATCCTCCAACATCACCTATTGGCATCGAATCATTTCACACATTAACATTTGTTTTTACAGGAAGGATGTAGTCCCGCGGGTAATTCGAAAAGAAAATTAACAAGAGCATCAATAGAAATGCACTGTTTCTATAATACCAGCTGATAATAAATACTTCAGAACATTGCTTAAACGTCACCTTATTAGTGTGTGTCCATGCGTAAAGATTTCTGAATTGCTTTAACTTTTCTGTAATTAAAAACCATGTACCGTTACAAGAGTGACCACTCTTTGTACCAGTCATTCAGTTCAATAAAGCAATGTACTATTTACTAATATAGTGAATAATGTAATTATTCGTCAAGATATTGTAAGCATTTACAATTACTATTAACATATAGTGTATTCAAGTTATTGTAAGTTAATTAAACTACAACTGTGAGATAATGGGATAACTCACTCTAATTGTAAGTTATTTGCCACTGTATCATAATCTACCAGTTAATTAATGTAATGCATGTTAATGTTATTTTCAACTTGTTAATGGACTTTTTTGTAGTTTAAAATAATGTAAATTATTTTCATTTTTATTGTGAGAACTTGCACATTTTATTAATCACATAATTTATCAAGTAAACTATTTGAATTCTTACTGTAAGTTATATAATTGAATTTAATTCCTGTCAGAACTTAAATTAATAAAATGCTTATTTTAATCATTTACAAATTTAGAAAAAATATAATTTATCAAGTTAAAGTTACCTTTTAAATTATTACTGTAAGTGAATGTAGTTAAAATTATCATTCTTACAGTAATTTTAATTATTTTCTAGACATACTTTGCTTGATACTATCTGTATGTCTATAAGCAAAAATATATTATTATTATTATTATTATTATTATTATTATTATTATTATTATTATTATTATTATTATTAATGTTTTGAGGTGGGGGAAACGCTTTATGCACCGTAAGGTTTAGAAACCCCGTGTGTGGGACTTCCTGCTTTGGTCTACCCACTAAAACCCTCTCCGTTCCAGTCAGAATGTCTTAGCAAGGAATCGCAGCTATGGCATTCCATCTTGCCATCTTGGTTCGGTGTTCTCTAGGATCCTTCGATCCCAATTAACTTTTTTCACGTAGTTTTGCCCAGTTTTCTTCTGTTTCTAGCATTTCTTCTACTATGTTGTTTGGCGAATCTCCTTTACAATGCTGGAGTTGAAAATATATATTTCAAACTTTCGGCATTAAATGACATGTTCTGCTTATCGTCTGTTCCGCAGGTGGTACACGTATTGTCCTTCTTCTAAGTAGCTTCTGAAGCTTCCATGGCCTGTGAATGCTTCTGTCAGGTAATAATCGGTTTCACACTGCTTTCGTTCTGCCCATTTCTTAATATTGTGTATTAGACTATAAGTCCATCTTCCTGTCGTTTCTTTTCTCCAACGGCCTTGCCACATCTAAAAGAGCTCCTCTCTTGCTTCACTCTGCCTGGTGTCGGCATTTCTTTCAGGTTTTCGTAGGCGGATGTTCTTTCCTTGAACAGAAAGTCAATAGGGGGTACGCTTGCTAGCACAAGGGCGGCACTTTTACAGACTGTTATGTTGGCAGAGATAATCCTCAGTGCCACCCCTCTCTGTACCGACAGCAGCCTTCATACACTTTTCTACTTTCATAGCGCCCGCCCAAACGGGAGTTGCATAAAGCATGTTCGACAGGACTGACTCCGCTACCAGTCGTCTTTTCTTTTCTCTCGGGCCCTCAAAATTCGGCCTTAGTCCTGTTAGATTTCCTCCCGCTTCCATTGCCTTCATCGCTACCTTCACCACATGCTGTCCAAAACTCAATTAATTGTCGAGATCTACTCCTAAGTAAGTACTGTGTTTCTTCCATTGAATTTTATTGCCTCTCCCCTCTATTCTTGGCTTTCTAAAGCCCCTTCTCTTAGCGATCGGAACTGCCTCTGTTTTCTCTGTCACCATGTCTAATTTCCGTTTATCCAACCATCTTTTTGCTCTATGCAAGCTTTCATTCGCTCGCATCTTAAGAATGTCTTCGCTTCCTGCTGCTACTACAATCAAGGCGTCGTCTGCAAATCCAATAATGTTTACTTCCCTTGGGAGCGACATCTTTAAAAAGTCGTCGTAAACCAGGATCCAGTGCATTGGGCCTAGCCGATATCCTTGGGGGGCTCCACACTTCATTTATTCTTTAATTTTCCAATTATCTCCTTAATATACACTGTTTCTCTCGCTTAGGTAGTCACTTGTAAGATTTTTCAGGTAGACTGGGATACTCCGTCTTTCTAATGCCCCTTTTACATCTTCCCAGCCCGTGGAGTCGAATGCGTTCGAATTGCTATAAGGGCACAAAAGACTATCTTCCTGCCGCTATCTTCTCTTGCTGTTTTTATCAATTCGACTGCTTCCCTGATAGCGTCGTTCGTCGATCTGCATCCCGTACCGGTTATGAGCCAAGCCTCTTGGCTTCGTGCTTTTCCATGCAGTGAAGAATCAAGCCTTCTAGCATTTTGCCCATGGTATCCAGATGGCAGATGGGCCTATACGATGATGTACTATCCACCGGTTTATGTCCTTTCCTTAATAGTACAAGCTTCTGACGCTTCCAGTCTTTGGCAAAGCCTGAATATCTCACACACTCATTGAAGAGTTCCAATAGAAGGTCCGGATACTCTGTGATGACATTTTTCACTACCTCGTTCGGTATCCCCGAGAGCCCACGTACGAGAGATCCGAAACTGAGATTCCAGACACGACCCCTGAGAACTGTCCAACACTTTCGGCAGCTATGCAAAACATCCAAGTAGCTTTGCGCGAAGTGTTGGATGAGGATGAAGCGTCTGAAGTCACTTATGTGTTAAGGTCACGGCCAAACGTTCGCCGTACTTTAGAATGGCCCAAAACAACGCAAGTGGGCAGTCTAAAGGATTCCAGCTCGCAGAGGTCTTCCGTAAAGAAGCAAGTGAGTAAGGTTTCTAAAAACATTTGTGCTCCCATTTCAAAATAGACACCCAAAATTACTCAAGGTGGCGAGGTGAATTCTCCGCAGGACTTGGGGAGGACGGGCCTAGCTAGTGAAAAGACATTTCCTGAATCAACATTGATCTCTACTCTTGGAGTTCAGCATCGAGAACAACAACTTCGGCTTACTAAATCAGAAAAGGTATGGTCATTGGATCCAATCTACACTGATAATGAAGATAGTGAGGACTCTGTCTTTCAGGGACAGCCCATTTTTTCTTTGAATGAATATTCTGTTGAAGTTGATATTGAATTGGTAAAGATTAATTCGTCTGAAGATTTAATCTTATAATCACTTAACTGAATTTTTTGTTTTGTTTTCTTTTTTTTTCAATATTACTATTTTTTTTCCTATTTATGTTTAGACCTCTTAAAATAATACAATGGTATTGCAGAAGTATCATTCCAAAAAATCCCTGAATTAAAAAAAACAAAACTTTAGGAACATAATTTTTTTATATGAAATGTGGCTGTACAGCAACAAGTTTGTTGATTTTAAAGGCTTTAATTGCGCTTGATTTCATAGATTAAATAAACAAGGGGTTGGTTTGGCTATTCTTGTTAGAAAAGAATTAGTATCCAGTCTGGTTAATTTGAAATTCAATTCCAAATCCTTAGAAGGTGGTGTAGTAGAAGCTTGTCGTGATGTGGTATCTCTATTGGTGGTTGCTTGCTACAGATCACCAAAATCTGATTTTAATAAATCAGATTGGGTTTCCTTTATTAATAAATTTTCCAAACATGAGAACTTTGTCATTGGAGGCAATTTTAATTCACATCATGTTTCCTGGGTCAGAAACAGGCCAAATGGTGAAATTGTTTTTGACAACTATTATCCTGAGGCTATGTTCCTACTCAATGATGGTTCTCCTACGTATATGTCTAATTCATATGGAATGTCATTTATGATTGACTTGACATTTGTTTCTCCTAATCTAGCTTTCTATTCCTCATGGACAGTAAATGTTGACAATTGGGCAAGTGACCTCTTCCCTATTATCATTAACATAGGACTGGTTTGTGAGAAATCTTCCAAGAAGGCTTTTAAATATAATTTAGGGGACTGATTGGGAGGTATAGTCTGAAATTTTTGAATTGTAATGTAATTCACAGATATGAAATACTGAGATTATTCATGAAGCTATTATATTCTCTACACAAAATGCAGAGAACAATTACTTCTCTACATCACAATGCCCAAAACGCAATTCTTGTCCATGGTGGAATAAAAACTGTGAACAAGCCATTAAAGAAAACAAGCTATTGCTGTCCTTCGCAAATGTTTCAACAAAAAAATCTTTATAGAATTACAAAAATAAAAAATAAAGTCAGCAAATGCTAGATTCATTATTCAAGAAGAGACATTTATTTCTTCTTGATATTCAAGAAATGTTGTAGTTTACTTAATAGAAATAGTGACCTATCATACATCCGGGACAGAATAGAATGGTTTCAAAAATAAACTTAGTAGATCTAATATTTTAGATTTTAACACTTCAAGGCTTGAAAGTTGGGAATAATAAAAAATGTCCACACTTACTTAAGGATAACTGCCCTAGCCTTTTGATGTGTGAAACTAATGAAATCCTGGTTAGTGGATAGTCCATTTTCATACATAGAAATAAATAATGCCTTGGACAATGTAAATACTAAATCATCACCAGGTATGGACAAAATTCTTTTCAAAGTTTTAAAACAATGACCAGAAAAAAATTTAAAGGGTTCTTTTGGACATCTATAATGATGTTATTTTTCAAAATGGAATTTCTAACAGGTTGAAGAAAATCAAATTACTTTTTATTCCAAAGGGAAATAACAAAGGTGTACGTCCCACATCTTTGTCATGTCTGCTTGAACTCTTAGAGAGTATGGTTAACGA